GATCAGAATAATATATCGTCTGTCCCGAAGAGAAAGCCAATTGAGAGTGATAAGTCGTTCGTTATAATTAATGGGACCACAGTGACGCCAAAGAATTCTCCTAGAGACTCTCTGTTGTACTTTTTCAAGACGATTTACGTGATCTTGACAATGAGGACTCTATACAGTAAGTCCATACTCCAAGATCGGTAAAACAAGGGATTTGTAAAGATGAGACATGGCATCAGGTGAACAATTTGCAGCAACCGAAAAAATTAAACCAACCATTCGGTTAGCACGTTTGATAACATTATCAATGTGGCTCTTCCAATTAAGATTTCTGTCGATATATACACCTATTCTCACCATTCAGTAAAAATACTGACCTTGCAAAGTCACGTTTTCTAGTTATGTACATTAGCTTAGATTTTTTAACATTGAATTTCATTTTGTTATTTTGTGCCCACAAAGCAAGAGTGTCAATATCATTCTGAAGAAGTGATACATCATTCTCAGATTGTCTATGCCTAAAGATAACTATGTCATCAGCAAACAGAGCGTGATCAGATAAAACATTCTGAGAAACATCATTAATGAATAAATTAAAAAGAATAAGCCCAAGGCAACTCCCCTGAGGAATACCAGAAGTGACAGGTAGGGGAGAAGACGTAAGGCCCTTGAAACATACTCTTTGTTTTCTGTCTGTGAGATATGATGACATCCGTTTCCATAGGCTTCCCTGAATGTTAAAATTAGTAGCAAGTTTATATAATAAAATATCAAAGGGCATTTTATCAAATGCTTTACTCATGTCTAAAAATATAGTATCGACAATAGCTGCTGAGCCACGTTTGTCAAGCAGTTTAGCCCATTTAAAATATATGTCATTAAGCTGAGTAACACATGATTTACCTCTAACAAACCCGTACTGGTTAGAATTAAGAAGGTAATACTCATTAACAAATGAATTTATATTATGGATTATAAGCTTCTCCAAAATCTTACAAATTAACGATGATAGAGAAACGGGTCTGTAATTAGACATTAGAGCCTTATCACCAGATTTATAGACAGGAACTGTGTTTACACACTTCCAGTCCCCAGGAACATTACCAGTACATAAAGACGTACGAAAAAGTTTCCAAAGAGGACAAGCAATGGAGCTGGCAATAGGTTTTATTAACTTAGCAGAAATTAAATCCGGACCTGGCGCAGAATTTAACCGAAAAGAGGAGATTGTAGATACAATGTCATCAGGAGTGAAAATGGCATCGGATAATATGGGAATGGGAAGTGTACAAACAGGCGGTTCTCTATAGTTAAACCCAACATTAATATCATTGTGTACAGAAGTAAAATAAGTATTAAAACCATTAACAATATCATGCAAATTAGATAAAACTGTATCGTTAGCAGGATTCACAAATTTGTTTGGTAGGCTAGACTTACGTTTAGCCTTTACAAATGAAAAAACCCGTTTTTTATTATTATCAGATTTAAACAGATCGTTTATATAGTCTTTATAAGACTTCTTAATTGCATAGTGTACTTTGTTGCGCCATTTCCTATGCAATTCCGAATGTTCAGGCAAACCAGTATTCTTAGATTTCTTAAATAATCGTCGTTACTTATGGATCATACGATGAATGTCTTTAGTAATCCATGGACTAGTTTGTTTTCGTTCTTTTCTAGTAACACATGGAACGCTATCACGGACAGCAGCATCCAGTATGTCCAAAAACCCATCCCAGGAAGTAGTGACGTTGTTGGTATCAAGAAAAGCGCTCCATGGTGCAAGGTGCATGAGTTTATTCAAGTGATCAAAATCTGCTTTGTTCCATTTCAGAAATGATCGCGTTGTTGACGGATGGGGCAAAATGTGATGACAAACAATATCAAATTCACTAGCGTGATGATCACTGGTTACTGGGTTATCGATTACGCTAATGTTCCTCAACTTAGTCGGATTGTTTGAGAAAAATAAATCAATTTGAGAGCCATCGTTCATATTGGTTGAAGGTCGGGTATTTTCATCAACAAGTTGATGAAAACCATATATGTTCATTAAATCAACAAAAGAGTCAGGAGCAGTATTCCAATCAATGTTAAAGTCACCCAATATTACGACAGAGTCATACCTTGAGAATGCATGTTCTTGTCGCAAAATGGCTTGTTCAAAATAATTATAAAAAATAACAGGTTCATTCGGAGGCCTATAGACAAGGTATAACAGGTGAGACTTGTTTGACGTTATTGACACCCACAACATTTCGATATCAGATTCAGATGCAACAAGTGTTGGATTAAGTAAAGTATTAATGCCAAATAATATGCCTCCCCCATTTGTGGTGGATCCACGATCTCGGCGAAATATTTCAAATGAATTCGAGAAATGCAGCATATGTGAGTCGTCATTAGACTTCAACCAGGTTTCAATTAAACAAATAACATCAAGACCAAGACGTTTGGTTTCACAATATGTAGCTAAGTCCAAAGATTTTTTCCGGATACTTCGACAATTAGACAGCATGACAGATACAGATTTTATTGTTCTTTTCTGACCTTTCCGAGAGCTACCGTCTTCAGTGGGGCCAGGATTAGGATGTATGTCCCCCGAACTGATTAAGATGTTAAACATAGCTGACGATGCTGAATAATAAAGTGTCGGTGCTTTAGAAAACTTGCGCCTTACCTTGGATCCAGAACGTAAGTAAGGAACATAAATATTAGGAAACAGAAATTCAGCTGCAGTAGTATAAACAAAGCTGTTACTTAACGACAGGTGTGGCTTTGGAATTCCAATGTAATGAGGCGCCATGGCGGGAAAAAAGATATGATTTCCAGGCTGAAAAACTGGACACAATTCCTCGAAATGAACTGATATGTAATTATTTCGAACATTCAGGTCACATATATGAGTTGACATGCCATGACCATTAAACAGGATTAAAGCAAAAGTAACAAATAAACGACAATCGAAAGTAAAATTACCGCTAACCCTCGTCAAAGACATGGCTTAAATTAGCGAGAATAAAAAAAAAATCACGGTATTAACATCAAAATGCGAATCAAAAATCACACGTATCCGAGTTAAGAAGTAAGAAACAATAATAGCGATTAGGATCGGCGATTCAGCAAACAAGTAAAATACTGTAGGTTGGACTCGAGGTGTTTCCCTTGAACACACAATGCCGGGTGCAGCAGATCTTCTCCGGCGAGTACAATCAATAATTTCACTAACAAGGTGGCCTAGAGAGCTCGCGTGAACACGTCCGTACTCAATCAGGTCAAGTCCAGGATTATATCATCACGTCCAGGATTATAATATGATTAT